TGATGTATTTATTGTGATTTTCTAAATTGGTTGTCAATGATTCTCCAGATTTCCTGAACATTGGCTGTTTCAATTCTTGTACCTCAAAAGTATAAGGGAACAACTCCACAATACAGTAAGAAAATTTTGATAAATTTAGCAAAATCCAAGAAGTGGTTTTGGGGCCCGCTGGATCTGCTAACAATGTGGACTGGCTGCAATCAGCAGGTTGATTATTAGATCATTTACACACCTGCTATAAACTTATTGCATCTCTGGCAGTGCTGTTAACATTATATACATAGCAAACAACAAATCCCCAACTACAGCATGGAGCAGCTCATCAATGTAGCAGCCATGTAGCCTGATGTAAAAACATTTTGTTAGACGATGTCCAACATTGAGAAGTTTTAATTATTGTTATCAAACGTTTTAAACACGGCGTTTTGAAGCCAAAATACCTCAGAAATATACAGAGCCAACCATGAAAATCAACCCATTGAAGGTTTAAACAAACACTAAGACGCTAGCATAAATGTTTGACCGTTGAACAGCTAATTTTCTGTTAGCGTGTGTACCTACCGCAGCCACCAGGGGGCCCCAAGAGCAATTAATTTTTAAAAATTTTTATCCATAAAAAAATGATTTCTATATAGGCTACATTATTAGATATATTTTACTGTAAAAACAAATAAATTCATAATGAAATTGTGTGCTTATAATAACATAGAAATTATAACTTAAAAAAAAAAAAAATCAGCTCCACTGAGGGGCCCCTTGGTGGCCCCTGCTTAGTTTGGCTATTCCACATTATGTGGCTTATGTACTTCATACATAACCAGGTGTATAAATATGACGCTGACCAGGATTTATCAGATTGACTTAGCATTCCATTGAACTTTAGGACTTTCTATTTGGACTTAAAAATAGGATGAACAGATTGATCATGTGCACAGCGAAATCTAGACTGGATGTTACAAAACACGTGCAAAGTCTACTGTGTGAAAAAAAGTCATCTGAACACACCCTGTCTCAATATTTATTTCAAATTCTCTCCCAAGACACTGTTCAGTTTCCATGTTGTTTATTTTACTCTAAATAAATCATATAAGAACTGCAGAAATCTTCTGGTTAACTGTTTCTTTTATGTAACTTTTTTATAACACTTTTCCCTGGACCTCAGTGTTAGAAGACCTGACTCTCATCTCTGCTGGTTCACATTACGCTGTGAAGTGCCCCATTGCATGCTGGAGACACCAATAGAACCACATAATCTGCAAAAACCCAAGCCAGACACTCTCCTCTCCAGGGGCGTTCATTGACACAATGCTCTCAATGAACGCTACACACAGGATCAGAGCAGGGGCAGTGCTGACGAAATGCAGCTTGATTTGAGTGTACAAGATCTGAATTGCCTTAAAACAACCCAGATAATCCAGATTCACAAAGCACTCCAGCTAAAGACACTGAGCGTATCTTCAGATCCATTAAACATAGAATAAAACTCCCACAAGGCCCTTAGACGTTCTTCTAAGGTCAGGATGAAAGCCTCACACCATCCAGTAAGTTTTCTTTCTGAGACTGAGAAAAGTGTTCCCTGATAATTAGAACTTCAATTTCTGGACCCGTTCCTCAAAAAGCCTCCCACCGCCCAAACCCGCCACTCCACAAGTAACACTAAAGAGGCGTGTCATCCCAACACTGTAACAGTAATAAACTGTAATTGTATTGCATGTTGTTACACTAATATTACACTGAATTGCTTCACTTTGGTGGCTTCACCAGTTTTCTTTCCACCCACATGTTGTTTAATTTGCAGATTTTTTGAAAGTTTTAAATATTATTTCAAGGACAAAAAAAAAACGAAACAAAGTTTATTCTTCTTTGTTCCTTTTTCATCCTGCTACCCTGACTATCTTTTCTTTTGGCCCCTTGAGAATATTCCCTGAACATTAAAGGGAGCATCTCTGTGGTTGCATCAAGAAAGGCAGTGCCAACTAACACAAAGACTTTTTCTTGAACTGTCTGAAACGTAAACTGATATATTTAGATTGTGACGTTTTGTACAGACTGTGCTCAAATGGATAAAAACAGAGAAGCAAACATTTTAATCATTAACACACAGGTAAGGAATTTTCCAAAATCTTGGAAAGGTAAAGCTAAGGTCGCATTCACAATGCAGCCGGAGGTGACCCAATTCCCAATTCTCTATTAATATATTGCGACTTGATCTGATCTTCTCATGACAGTCTGCACAACACAGGTCAGATTCTTTTTGTATGCGACCCAGGTCACTTGCGTATCCGATATGCATCCAATTCAAATGTGACCTAACGTCCAGGTCGCATTCATCCGACCTGAACATCATTGATACTCGACAAAACGTCACTATTCTGGGTCCATGTTTACTTCCGCAAACACTGAGCACTTCTTCTGTTGGCAAATCCCTGAGAACGCCGACGTTATTGCGCCCTCCATTGCGCATGCGGGATACTTCCACATACAAATCACATGTATTTGGAAGTGTGAATGGACACGGCGAAAAAAATAAAATAAAATCGGAATTGGGTCACTTCAATGTGAACGCAGCCTGAAGACTCAGGCTACACACTTGCTGAGGAAACTCTGTTCTAGTTTCTAACTACACTAGTTTTCATTTGTTAGCTCAAGATTAGAGCAAATATTTTGAATTTGACTTGCAAATAACTATTCCCAAAATGCTTTTGAGCTCACTTAAACTCAGCCTGAGTTTGGTGGCATTTATAATATTGCAGATAGTGATCAGAACTAATCAGATTTGTGTGCACAAGATTGATGGAAAGGGAATAAAACAAATATCCAGTTACTCTAACATATGGAACCTTACACTGTTTGTTAGCTTTTGCATGCTACCATTAACTTTTAAAATGAAGAGCAGCTACCAAAACAATAATGATATATTTCTGAAGTGGGTGAAGCGATAGTGAGGGTGATCCATCACAGCGTTTAACCACTTATCTGAGCCGTCTCTCTCCATCTCTTTGCACACCTAAACCCGTCTGACCTTCCATTTGTCCTCCATCAGAGGTTTTTCTGTACATTTCCTCTCTGCTTTGTTTCCTCCTTCTGCTTTCTCTCCTTCCTCCTGGCCAGTCTCTCTCTCTTTGTCACTTTTTGTTTACAAACCCTTTCATCTGGATATTGCTTTAAATGTAAAACCCGTCTATTTGAAAGGGGTTTTATTTTAAACCCTGTCATTTAAATAGGTCTTTAGATGACAGAGCAATGAAAAGTCAACAAGAACCCTCCGATTGTGTTTTCTTGACAGGACTCGCGCGCGCACACACACACAAACACATGCTCGCACACTGCCTGCCTGTCTACATGCATCCAAGTCTATTATTATGCTAATGAGTCTCCAGTCTCCACATGTCCCCACAGTCTTCACGTTCACACGCATGCACGAGCGTTTTTTTCTATTTTGCTGAGCTCAGCAGCGTGGCAACACTCGTGGCTAGCATGGAAAATAATCCGAAATTTCAGCAGCTTTCAAACAGAATGGTCACTGACGGACACAGAAACGCCACTAAGGTATTTTATTGTATTTTTTGTCATCGGTTTGACATCCTTCCTTGAAAAGTAAAAAACTAAACATGATGCACAAACAACATAATTGGCCTCCATGCTGTGCTGAATCTGATTTTGGACAAATTGCAAGCAAACCTCCCCCAAAAAACATTCAAAAACATAAGTAACTAGATTTTTATATCAATTATGTCACCTTTAGATTTCAAAAGTCATTTGTTGCCTAAATTGCGTCCTAAATTCATTATTATTTCACTGTAAATTCAGTGTCTTGACATTGTTGTATTAGCCCCAGAGGTTAAAGTTTCACTGCACATAATGATGTGTATTTTCTGTGGATTTGACATTGCAGTGGCCCATTTTAAATGTCATTTGTGGGAGAGCTTGGTGGCACATCCTCCTGTTATACAATCCAGTAAACTAAGTGGCAACATGAACCTGACTCAGTAATGTCTATTTGGTTTCTACCAAAACAGGAAAGAGAAGGAAGGAAAAAGATCTATATTTCAATTTTTAAGATTTTATGATAAGCACCACATATATCACAGTTTTTATTTGACCTTTATTATTACCTTGTGTCTAAAGTGGATGTTTTTATTATTGTAGAGGTTCAACACGCTCTGTCACTCTCTCTACTGCAGTAATTATTTGTTTACAGGGATGAAAATGTCACTTTTCATCCTGAACAATTCATTTTATCTAAATTAAGTCATAAATGTTGAACCTTTACACTTTTACCAACTCTGTCTCCTAATTTGAGTCAGTTCACTTAAATGCAGCTTAGTTTACTTCAGTTATATGACATTTAACCTATGGTATCATCTCTATAATTCACAAGAAAAAAATATCTCAATGTGCTTTAAAAAAATAATTTATTATACTCATTTATTGAAAGAAAACTCTCTTTAGCGCCCAGAAAGTCTAAAACTTTACAAGATTTTACTTGATGTGATAGTTTTAAGTGAAATTAAGCACCATTTCCCAGAATTGTTTTAAGCCAAATAGGATGACTTAAATTCGCATGTAAAAGGATTTTTTTTTTTATGTGTTACCAATTACTCTTTTACTGTTTCTATTGCTAAAGCAATTTTATCTGTTTTTATTCTGGTCTTCACTGAAAAGTCATCAGTTTTTTGTCCACCAGAGGGCTTTGTTGTTTGAATAGTAAAACGTTGCATTTTTGCACATTTGCTAAGACAAACAAAGGCTTGTTAAAAGCGACAACTAGAATATTAAAACATTTTATATTCCAGCTGTCTACAAACACAATTAGCATTTTTTTAACTGTCTCAAAGCTTTTTGGAAGATAAATATTTACTCTCAAACTGTTTAGTTCTCAAAATAATCAGTTCAATCAAATAATACAGCCCGGTTTAACTGGATTGCCCTGGAAACACACAATCCGATTGATCAAATTCTGTCCACGTTCGGAGCATTTTACAGCGTCAGATTACATGTTCAGACACATACTGTGCTGTGAGTATGAATTAAATTAAACACCATCCACCAGAGAGCTAACAGAAAACATCCTCACTGCAAAGCATTAACATACAAATGAAGTTACACTTGTAAGTTACAAAACAGATAAATTCCCAAGCATCTATCAATTAACTCATAACACAAGGACCTCTCTGAACAAGACTTACATAAATACAGACGTCACTGAATTACATCACACTTCATCTGCACTGCCGGCTTTGTGTGACTCTCGGTGTGTGTTTGTGTGTGTGTGAGTTTAAACTCCAAATTAGTGCTTCGTCACTGCACTGCTTCCCTTCCCTACAGCACACTCACGAATGAACATCGTGCCCCGCAGAGTCCGCTCACATCGTCTGTATGTGTCTGATAAAGATCATTTGATAAAACAACAGTGACCACTTATTGGATTACTCTCACTGTAGAGCTGCAAGGGGCTCGACTTGTAAAGAAGGAAGTTGTTGGTTGTCCTATGTTTTGTCTCATAAGAAGTTCAATTTGTGATGGTGGGTTGCATAATGACGAAGTTGTTAGCATTGCGGCGTTGCAGTGAGAAAGTCTCAAATCCATTTATCTACGCATCAGTTCACTTGCTTTCTGCATTTACCTTCATTTTTGTTCCAAATTAATTGTCAAACATGTAAATATAGCTAAAGCGAGAGAAATCTGCAGGTCATGGAGTTCCACAAGGCTCAGTTGTCGGTCCTCTTCTGGTCGGTTCATCACTTTATGAATTCACAGTATATTCTACCATTTATACGACAATAAATGTGTCTGTTTCTGCCAATGGCACCAACATTTGTTTTCTAGAGTCCAAAAGACAGAGATGTTTGTTGTAGGTTCTGATTATCTTTTATATATGCTCTGTTGGATGTGAATAATATAAAACTAAGGCCGGATCATAAAAAGTTTCAACATACATCCACATTTACATTAAAAATCTAAGATAGTTGTGCTGTAAGAGTTTCAAAAACCACTAAAAAATTAAACTAATGTTTTTTCTGTGCATGAAAGTATTCTCTTGCAGCTAGTTTTCTGTTTAACAATTGCATTTTGGGAAGTTTTGGGAATATTGCCTAGAGATTCACCTTCCACTTCAGTCACAGGACAGATTATTCGTTTTACAAAAAAATTAACTTTTATTTATAAAGCTGAACAAAAAGATGAGTGGTGGCCAGATCACAACATCCTCTATCAGATCCCAAGCAGTTGATACACACGAAGTTAAACATTTCATAATGTTATTTTAAAAAGATGTATTTTTGATTGAGATGTTAAGAAATGGAGCAAATGGCTTCAGAGTGAGCTATAATGCGAAAAACAATAAACAAAAAGAAACTACCTGAATATTAACCAAAACTTACCTAATTGAAAGTAAAACCCAATGACAAAAATTTGCCTCCCTAATTAGGAAAAACATGAGAAAACTAAGCAAACAAACAGCAGAACTTGACAAGGTGTTAACAAGTGGATGGATAGCAGGAAGTACTTGCCAGCAGCTTTTATATCCGTCACTTCCGGGAGGCCACCAATTGGACATTTCCGGTGTCCTCTGGCAGCCAATCAGGGACGGGCCCCTACACAGTCACGTTTGCACGATTAATTTTACGACGTCAGTCTTGGTGTTAATTTCTGAGTAGCGCCCTCTGCTGTTAAGGGAAAATATTGTAGGACTTAGTGCAGCAGCGTTTCTGAAGCCAGCAAAGCCATTTATGTCCACATAACACTGACTCCATCGCTATTAACTTACACTCACTATTCAAAGCACGGGATAACGCCAATCATATTTATCTAAACACGTTTAAAAAATTATTTTTGTGACCTAAACATGTACCTCCACTTTTTAGTTTCGCTTTAATAAAAAAAAACAGCGTGAGTGAGAAACTAAAGGTGTCTAATTAAAGTAACTCCTCGACTTCCACCGCTGCTGGTCCCAGAAGACAAGATGCTCTTATTTTCTCTTTGATGGAGAGAAAGGATCTGTCTCTCTCTCTCTCTCTCTCTCTTTCTGTTTCTGTCTCTCTCTTTCTCTCTTTCTGTCTCTGTCTCTGTCTCTCTCTCTCTCTGTCTCTCTCTCTCTCTCTCTCTCTGTCTCTCTCCCTCTCTCTCTCTCTCTCTCTCTCTCTCTGTCTCTCTCCCTCTCTCTCTCTCGTCCTTTAAAGCTGCAACAGCTGGTCTCAGGCGTCAGAGAGAGCTGCAGCTCCGATAAGGAGAACAACGTAACGAGAAAGGCAGGCAGGCAGGCAGAGAGAGGGGAGCGATCGGATGCTCTGTTCCTGGTCTTCCAGCAGCAAAAAAAAAAAAAAAAAAAAAAAGGAGCAATATTTCACAAGGAGCTGCGATGCCATCTGAGAAGTTAAAACCCCATCAATGTTTTGAGACATTTTTTTGGACGCGACTGCTTTCTTTGTGAAACCTTTTAGTCTCCCTTTTTTTTTTTTTTGCAAACAGTCACAACTCGCCGCTCGCCTTCTGCTTTCGTTTGTTTTTGGTTGCCAGTTTGTGACTCTGACTCCGCCGGAGGAGAGGAGCTGTCCGGTGCTGAAACCCGCACGGAGTTAAATACCCCAGAAATCTACAACATACAGCAAACAAACAGGAGAAAACGGACATCTGTGTCTTCGTTTACGACCAACTAGAGCTCCACTGCTCTTCCGGAGCTAAGTTTGAACTATAAAACATTTTTTTTTCTTTTCTTGTTGTTGCTGAAAACAAAGAGGTGCAGGAGAAACACTAAAGATCATGTCTCTACTTTTGAATTCGACGCTGTAGGAAGCCAAGAGATTAAATTATATGCGAAAAATCATCTGATTCCCATCACTGGGTGCAGACTTAAGAGGATTAGGAAAGGAGCGTGTGTTAATCGTATGAGCGCAGGAGCAGTGACTGTCCCACCATGCCTCGGTCTTTCTTAGTGAAGAAAGTCAAACTGGATGACTTCTCCGCTGCAGAACTGGAGACCTCCTACAGCCGGAGAGAGGAGCTCAGTCTGCGGTTCCACAATCACGACAAAGGTTAGTCGCACATACACTCACTCACACATACACCAGCCACTTTGAATACACAGATTTAAAGCGTTAGTGATGACTGATGGACAGGGAGTGGGAAAAAAGGGTCAAGCCTGGGTCTAAGCACAAAATCTACATGAAACTCAAGTCAGTGAAATGTAAAGTATTTATAAAGATCACTGTTTGCAGCTGGAGATTAAGGTTTGCATCTTAAGACTATCGGGTAAATTAATCAAGTTGACCTTGTTGAGGTCACAATCCTCAAAGGTATGTCCTCAGGGTAAACATAAATGGAAAAAAAAAATAAAAACCCTCCCACGTCCCATGGAGATTTCTTACACAGTGCTTTCCTGAGATGTATTTTTAGATGTGCACAGAGAAATGCATGCCTGACATCTGCACATGAGGGAGAAAAAAAGTTACATGCAAGCAAAACTAAGTGTATTCCAGGTGGTTGGTCTCTGGGTCTTTGCTGCGCCAGCATCGCTTCAGCCTGTCTGTAATATTCAAACTCAGTTCAATACGAAACATGTATTTCAGCTCAAACCACAGATCCAGAAATATTTAAACTAATCAATCCAACACAAGACAAAGCCAAATGCTGATGGATCAGAAGTTTTGACAATAACTTGATGCAACTGACTAATGTTTGAGATTGTAATCTGAATGCTAGTGCCTTGTATTAAATTTGGGATCAGATTGGACTACGCCTTGTCCAATCTAATGGATTGTTTTGTATTTGGTTGATTTATTCAATGTTGCTGTATAATTAGAAATAAATTGAGCCTGTTTTTCTTGCAAAGTGCATTGAGAGCTGAACTATCTAGCCAAGCTCAGGCAATTGCATCTAGTGATTGACTTTGCAGCAATCCCTCCCTCCAGTGAGATGTGGACTGATTTGCCTTTTTATGGGAAAATTCACACATTTCACACTTTGGTGTACTCACAGAGTCTTTGCGAAAAAAAAAGTGTGTCACTGTTTGTAGTCAGCCAGAAGCATAAGCAACGTGTGCAGATTTAAATATCAGATTTTTACAGAAACGATTGAGAAATTAGCTACTTGTAAAGACTTAGTTTCTGATTCTCTCTCATTAAGCCTCTATGGTATATTTAAGATTGCAAGTGTAAATTGTGCACACTGAAGAGGATATATTATGTTTAGCTAAGAAGAAAAATTATAATCACAGTGAGATATTTGCAGCAAATTGTATTAAATAATTCAGTTAATAGATTATGTCACTAGTGCACAGGCTTTGGGATTCCCTGTTGATCTGCTAAATGTTATGTTTCTCACATAATGGTCATCCAGACCCTGGAAGTGTTTTCCCAAGATTTCTGTTTTATTTTCCACATCCATATTGACTGCAAATGGTTCCCACACGCTGCATAATCCTGGCTAAATACGACGCAGGAGGAAAGGCTGACGAATCTCTTCAACACTGAACAAAACATATCAGGGAAAATGGAAAATATGAAGAAAGAAATTAGTGAAACCTGCCCAGTAAAACCACATCAGTGCCAGTTGTACGAAATGAAAGTAAAAAATACTTGTGAAAATCAAGAAATCATCCCGTAGAAAGTAAAACAAAATGTAATTTGTTCATTTTAAATTGATAATGTTGTTGATAAACAAAAATATGGGTTTCACACAGAAAAAAAAACTTCACCGATTCCTGATGTTGGTTTGAAGTTAGGCCCAAATATGTTTAAAAGCGATGATTTAAGATTGATTGCAAAAAAAAAGAAAAGAAAAAAGAAGAGTAAAATTGCTTGGCAAACACCAAGAAGAAGAAGTAGTTAGAAGAATGTTATGAGGCATTGTGATACATAGAAATTACTTGGACCATCTTTTGTGGCAGAGCCCTCTGCTGATTTATTATGCCACTGAGCAGGCAGCTGTTTCCAGCACACAAGGTCTGATAAGCAGCACCATATGTCAAACTGAGAAAGAATAGGCCAGATAGGAAGCGAACATCGGTGAGTGAACAAATGAGTCTTTACTGGGATGAAAATAACAGCCAATCGTTTGTTAAATCCCTTTATGGGGTTATTTTGTGCTTGGTTTTTCTTTCCGTCAGCTCTTTTCTGCCCTCTAGTGGGGACATAACCGCAGTTTGAAAGGGCTGACTGAGTTTTGTTCCACCACCGGCATGTAATTGTGTTCGTGCAGCCTGGTTAGGTTCACATTGTAGCAAGGTCAAATGTAAGATGAAGAGATCTCAGGCGCTCAGACGGCGAAGCGGAGAGCAGAAACCTGCGACAGCAACAGAAGCTTTAATGCGAACACATAAAGGCTCCAGAAATTATCCACCGTTATAAATATAAGATGTCAAGCGAAGCAACTGCAGCTTGTTGCTCGCACAGAAGCACACACTCGCATCACTGTGTTTCTGTCAACTCGGCACATTTGCCAGCCAGCTTGCACAGCTGAGTGCACAGCATCAAACTCACACACATGTGCACACACACACAGTGACCTACAAGTGTCCAAAGCACACAAGTGTGCATCAGTCGCTATTGGTTTGGATCAAAAAATAAATTGAGGCTTGCAGCTTATTTTTCCCCCCTTTTCTCTCATTTTCTATCTCATCCTTTTATTTTCTTTCCCTTTATGATCCTTTGCACTTTAAGCACACATATAAGAGGAAACACTCATCTTTGGGATGGGTATTTAAACTTTAATAAGCATTTAAAATTGCTTTCAGCTCTAATGCTGCTAAGGTACTTTGAAATGAATACAGAGGAGACACGGATGAAGATAAAGACAAACAGAAAGAGACAGAGTTCTGATACTGAGGGAACAAAAGCAGCGGTTACATAAGTTTTATTTTTATTTTTACATAAAATTGAATAACAGGGAGAAGTCATGTTTTACTTTTGTCATAATTTCTCTTGATGACAGCACATTTTCTCAGGCATTCTCCAGTGTGGAAAAACAGCATAACTTAACATTTTCTTGACCCTTTTCTCCTTGCAGTTCAGACACTGCTTGCATGGGTAACTAATAGTCAAATACGTCAAAAATAAAGTTCGTTATTAGACACACGAGCATGGACTGCAGCTGTATCTACTCTGATTGTGAAAACATGTTAAACAGGTCAAATACAAACAGTTTGGTTCACACACTGAACCGACATGAGCTACAAAGAGTTTGACATAAAAACAAAACAAAATGTAACGTATAACAAACTACCAAGTGGTCAGTATATCTATGAGCCATCCTCTGTTTGGTGACATTATTGCACAATTTTCACTGACTACCATCATTTGGGTCTCTTGTGGTCTATCCTGGATGTGCCAGCTGCTGCCAATATGAGTCATTCTTATGCTCATTGCTGGCATCTGCACTGGAGAACATGATGATTAAACATTTCTCTGATCCTACACTTGATCTTCTTTTTGTAACAAAGTCTATAACATACATTAAAGAGAATTTTTTTTGGCAGAAAAAGACGTATTTCCATTTGTGAAAAGTGTTACAAGTCTATTTAGTTAAAGAATATAAAAATTACACTATATAGTTATGGAGTATTAGCATACTTATGTAAGTCTTTGTAGGCTCAACAACACTGAAATATTTGTAACCTAAAAAGCTGTTAACATGAGCATTAGCCTGCAAACCTTAGCTTGGATAAACATCAATTATGAACATGACACTACTCAGTTGTGGACCTAAGTATTAGCATAGAAATGTAAACCTTAACATAATTAGCAATACCAACTTTTAAGCTAAATAGGGTTTGACATTAGAATTAGCCCACATTACATTAGTTTAGTGTGGTAGTGTGCTGATGCTAATGTTAGCATCAGCATACATTACATTAGTTTAGCATACAATTGTCAATTTGCTAACATAATGTTTGCAAATTTAATACTACACTAAACTAATGCAATGTGTGCTAATGAAAATATTAGCATTAGCACACATACTAATGGTAATGTGTGCTAATAACAGCATTAGCACACATTACATTAGTTTAATGTAATATTATCAGTTTACTAACATTAGCATTTGCATGCTAATGCTAGAAGTAGCCCGCATTACATTAGTTTGGTGTAGAAACATTAATTTACTGTCGTTTGCATTAGCATTTTGAATGTTGCTCTTAGTAGCTGTTTAGTTTTAATTTTAGCAGCAGCTGGTTAGCAAAATGAGAAAGTCAAATCAATTAGCTTTAGGCATTAGCATTGACTTGCTAATATGTAGTTTTGTTTGTAATTTTTATTTATTTTTTACATATTTATTAAAACAGTTTTTTCTGTTTCAACACTTTAGGGCAGCTAGACCCACCACACTATATGCCTAAGCTACAAAGTAAAGTAAAAATGAACATAAATAAATGAAACAAAACAAACAAACATTAAAGGCTTAAGGCCAATTTCCCTGTAGAGGAGAAGCTGAAAGGATGTCAGTTCAGGTCAGGAGCTTTTCTTAGATGACATACCTAATTAAATAAAGCTCAAAAAGAAACACATGATCATGTTTCAAAAACTTTACTCATGCTCTATAAAACAGGAAACACACGCACACACACACATGCTGTGAGAGTGCAGTGATAGAATATTTATGATTCATGATTTCAGTCTTTCCACCACACCTCACCATTCTTTCCTCCATCTTCCTATTTTTACTCTGTCTTAATTACATTTAAAATGTTAAATTAGAAAGAGAGCAGAGTGCCACCCTGCCAAAACACACAACCACAATTACCATAAAAAGTGTAAAATCCTCTCTTTCTTTCATTCATTTTTATTTCTTTCTCTCTTCCATTCGTCTCCCTTCTCCAGGTCGTAGTATCGATCAACATCTGAGCTTTTCTCAGAACTGCATCATGAAATTATATTACCAGCAACAGTATCTCCTCTGCTGTCTGTGTCTTAATGCCCACCGAGTGCTAATTGAAATGGAGAGCTATTGATCGGCAGATCCGCAGGAGTTGTGGCTGTGGGTTATTAGCGACCAGTCTCTCTCTTTCCGTCTGTTCGAGTTCAGCCTGTTGAGTTCGAGCCAATAATAGAAATAATGAAGCAGCCAACATCAAAACTCACAAAGAAATAATTGATCCGATTTGTCAAGAGCTGTGCAGAAAAATGCAGGGCAAGGCCGGAGGAATCCGTGGATCTCCAGGCAGATGTACTTACAGTTTAGCTCAAGAGGAGGACTGTCAGTATCGGCGTGCCCACTGAGCATTAGACCTCCCATCTGCTGTAATAGAGATGGTCTATGTTACAACAGCCGAAGCTCTGACAGCCCCAGGGTGTGACGGTGTGTGGCGGTGGACCTGTCAGGAAAGGTGCAGCTGATGAGGAACAAGTGTGCTCACTGAACCCTTCTATGAAAAATAAAGATTTCCTACAGAGGGTCGGAAAGCGTCTACTCAGTGCTGCCAAAGGCATAAAAGCATTTTAGTCCCTCTATAAATACCGTAAAGTTCTCCATCTCCTGGTTCTTTCCCAAAAGGAAAAGGCACAAAGAAAAGACAAAATATGGTCTCATCTGATCCCAGTTTCAAATCAGATAGCAGGCTGTAACTCAGTGTTTTGTTAATAATAAATGATCTGAGTTTAATTTGAGTGTGGTTCACTCTTACATCGCATTTGTTTACTCTCACACGTTTCAATTCGTGCTGCACAGTGGAGCAGTTGGTAGCACTGTTGCCTTGAGGCAAGAAGGTCCTGGGTTTGATTCCCGGCCCGGGGTGCATGGAGTTTGCATGTTCTCTCTGTTTTCGCATGGGTTTTCTCCGGGTTCTCCGGCTTCCTCCCACAGTCCAAAAACAAACTCACCTCAGAAATTAAACTTATGTGAACATAATGAAGCAACATCTCCAGGTTTGAGTCAAGTATTTCAAACTGGGGAACAAGTAAACAGTAATTGGTAGCAAAGTTGAGTTTTAATTTGATTCCTTTTATTTATTTATTTATTCATAATATGTCATCTTGAAGTTAAAGTAATTTTAATCTATATATTAATCATATCTTTCAACTGATCCTAGTTATGAAAACCGATTTGTCTTATTTCTAGTGTAGGCTATACTAGACCAACAAATCCTTTGGCATTTTGTTGTTGCAGTCCACATCTTGTTTTGATGTTTTGTAGTTGGATTTTTTTTTTTTTTTTTGGTGATCTAAAGAGTTGGATCCATTACAAGAATTACAACCCAGATTTTAATGTCTGATCGCTCCTCCCTCCATGACGTCTAATGTGTTTTGTTGTTTCCTTAGGTTACGTCGGTGATTATCTGAACCCGAATCCCTATGAAGACGTGGTGGGAAGTGATTCCTCAGTCATCTCTAAAGTGCCCTCTCCGAGCCACCCGTCAATCATCTACGGCCACATCAACAACACCTATTCAGGTATCCACAGCGACATCCATGGGGACTCGGACCAGCCGGACAGTCCCAGATCTGAGGTCTCGTCCTCAGCCGGCGGGTACATCAACGGAGACGCCGCCGTGAGCGAAGGATACTCAGTAGACGCGTTTTTCATCATGGATGGACGGTCGCGAAGAAAAGCAGCGGCAAACCCACGAGGGGCGACCCAGAGGCACACGTGCAGCGAGTGCGGCAAAACCTACGCCACATCCTCCAACTTGAGCCGACACAAGCAGACGCACAGAAGCATCGACAGCAAGATGGCCAAGAAGTGCCCGACGTGTGGGAAAGTGTATGTCTCCATGCCCGCCATGGCGATGCACCTGCTCACCCACGACCTCAAGCACAAGTGCGACGTGTGCGGGAAAGCGTTCAGCCGACCGTGGCTGCTGCAGGGTCACATGCGCTCGCACACCGGGGAGAAGCCCTTCGGCTGCGCGCACTGTGGGAAAGCCTTTGCTGACCGATCGAACCTGCGCGCCCACATGCAGACTCACTCAGCCTTCAAGCATTACAAGTGCAAGCGGTGCAACAAGACGTTTGCGCTCAAGAGTTACCTGAACAAGCACTACGAGTCTGCGTGCTTTAAGGGGACTTTTTCCCCACTGAGCTCACTGAGTGAATAAGAAACTCTGAAAGCACATCTAGCGTTTATTCACTTAACTTACATCCGATTTCTTCTGCTTTACTCCAAAAGATTAACCAGAGTGCAACAAAGAAGAAGTGTTTTTTTCTCATCTCTCAAACCTCTCGGTTATTTTTATTTGAAGGTTTTATTAAAAAGTTGGAGAGAGAACCTGATAGGATTTATCCCCCAGTCCAGTAAAGCACAACACATCTGGTGCATCATACCTTGAGATCTACTTGTGTTCATATCAATTCACGTCAAATGTTTTTCTACCAACGAGGAAACGACACAAAAGCACAACTGCTCCTCCGCGTCTCTGTCTTTTCTCAGAGTTTATGTGACCAAGCACAGAATCCACCGTCTCAGCAAATTATTTTCAGCGTTTTCAGACACAAAGATTCATATTCTAAGGATAATTCTGGTCTTGTTTTCAGTGAAACTGAAGCTTACAAGAAAATGCAAAGGAATCAGATGAATAGTCAGTGGTCTGCTTTTTATGGTAAAATTATGAACAAAACTGAAACTCATACATTATGTAGATTAGTTACACATGGAGTGATATAAATAAAGTATTTTGGTGATTATAACTTGAAGTGAATGGAAACCCAACATTCACTTTCTCATATAATTAGATTTTTAATGGAGAAATGTAGGTTTTGGCCTAAAGATTCCTGGTAGACTTTATAATCCATATGGAGAATAAGCCACAAAAAGTCACAATACAAAAAGCTGATTGTTCACAGTATGATGCAAGCATCCAAAACTGAGTGGAAGGAAAACATCTAGCAGAAAATTGTGCACAAGTAACACAGTATGGATTTAATTTGAAATGAGAAATAGGAATATGAAATTCACTATATTCAGACAAATCATTTACTTCCATGGCCAGAGGAGTGTGAAATCAAAATGTACAAACAAATTAGTGTATATTGTTCTCTGTGTAATAAATCTATACATTATATGAGTTTCTCTTTTTAAATTGAATTGCTAGGAACAACTTTAAGTCTGTTAATTGAGTCAGAGTATCTATTATATTCTCTTATGCTACAACATGCTTTCATCCATGGTGAATCGTTGAACCACAATGAATTATGAAATCAAGTAAGGCTCACTATTCTTAAAAATGCATTGAAAATATAGAAGTGACAGGAAAAAATGTTGAGTTGTTTTTAATATTTAATACCAATTAGCTTCTGAATAATAGTAAAATGATCCTCTAGTTAAATATTAGCACAAAACACAAAGTCAGCCATCAGGCTGTTCCACAATGATGCTCTCTTATTGGCTAAATCTAATGTTTATATATTTATTCATTACTTATTTGTCATTGTTCAAAAGGAATATGGACATTAAAATGCCTGTCATTCCTTTAATGAGGTTAAACCTTTTCCAGTGTTATAATTTTTTTTTTTTTGCATTTTATTTATTTATTTATTTATTTATTTATTTATTTATTTATTTATTTATTTATTTATTTATCTTGTATTATTTTGCACTTTATTGCAGTATTTTGCCTTTGTTACAAATATGCCAAAGCATTTGACACTTTGTAAACTTTGAGTACCTTTTTTATGTTTGCCACTTTAAGTATCCAAAACCTTTGCATGCAAAAAAGAAAAAAGACAAAAAAAAAAAAAAAAAAAAAAAAAAAGAAGCTGTCTAAATAACAGAAACTATGCCAATTTTATGAGTATTTTTTTTAAATATATTTTTTTGCCAAACTGCTTTGATAAGAGGCAAATGAAGCAGCTTTTCTGACATGGGCAATATTCCGTTCACATCCGACTGAGCAATAATGCATGATATGTTCAAAGAAGCGCTGGTCATAGCTGCTTGTGATTTTTTTTAAACGTTCAACTGCTTTTATTCTACATAGTTGCAAGAAATTAAATTTCAGGGAGTTAGCAAACAAAGCGTTGAATAATAGATGGGTTAGAATAAGAGCTCTAAATTTACAGGAACTCTGCTTCTGTTGTGACTCCAGGGAAATTCTTCTGGACTTTTTCCTTATTGGGGGATTCTTTAAATATTTACAATAAAACCTCAGCAACGAAAAGTATTTAATCTCTGTTACAAAGCCTGCTTGTCAAAATTAGATGATGGGATCATTAGCTTTTTGATTACATTAGTGTTACTGCAAGCTGTTAGATGCTGCTGGGATTCACAGAAATGAATCAGCTTCTTTATTTGGAGAGCTCTGGGTTGGGTTGAGTTGGGCAGGGTCTTTTTGTACGTGGGTTTTTGCACTGCCTGCCTTGTATTAATATTCTAAAATACTGTAGAAAATAGAGGGTAGATCTCTGGTGCTGAAACATGGATGAACTTGAACTTCTGTCACACTGTATTAGGCTACAACCACAACTTGTTGGTGTGTTTAATTTGGATTTCATGCAAAGTTATGAAGTGGAAGGAACGTGATGCATGCTTTGTAGAAAAACATTTTACTAGAAACAACCCAAAACAACAATTAAAAAGTCACTTTTTGGCGTATCTGTACTACATTTACGCGTCTAGATGCTGAAGTATTGTCTAATTATTCTTTTCAAAGTAGCTGGAGCTTCGTCTGACCAAACTGAAAACATAAAGAGCAGCAACTTTCAAGTTTTGGAACAGATTCTTGATTTTTGTGATTAAACTTTGATTTTCATAATTCTAACATGGGAATAAGCCTTGAACTAAACTTTGTGTGTTTGGGGTTGTTGTTCTGCTGGAAGTAAAAACATTACAAAGTAGTTTTTGGTATAGTTTCTAGTTATCACACTTGGAAAAAAGACAAAAGTAACTTATGAGTAATTTTTAAGCAAGAAATAAAAGCTTTTTTAAAGTCAGTAATTAAAAGTCAGTCTTACTGAAAGGTTACTTTGTAAGTTAGCTTGTCTCATTTCAGGAGTCCTAAGATATGTGAACTAGAAACTAGACAAAATAATACTTGTTCAAAATGTTTATGCAGTCTTAGTAATTTGCAGCTTCTAACAAGTTTACTTAAAGAACTGCACTGATTTTAGCTCCATCTGTCTACCAACTGTAACCTGCTCGCTTTAAATGCTTAAGAACTGCTTTGCTCAACGTATGAGATGCACCATCTGTTTTCTGCTGCACACAAGTAGGCTAAGAAAAGCACAATTTAGTGTCAGATGAACAGGTTATATTGTTTTATACATCTGATGCCACCCTGTGCTGCTCATGGTAAACCATGTGGAGTTCTTGAGGTTTTCTGTCGTAAAATAAAGATAAAGTTTATGACTGAAACATCTCCTGTCACCTGAGCTGTGGTGCTTTCTGAAGCTCTTCCAGATTCACCAATGGCCTCTTGGCTGCTTCTCTGACTCCAGCAGAGCGTTATGTAGTTCAGCAGTGCGTTGTGGTTTCTTGTGTTGCGTCACTTGCCCACATGTGCACATCTACATACACAAGCAACGAACTTCACATGCACAAATTATGCCAGTGGTTTTCCTGGAGGAGGACAAAGTAAGGCGTTACTGACGTCAGACCACTTTTTTCCGGAAGGAGTAATCCAACACGTTGCTATTTCAAATCCAGTAGTCAGACTACAGTTACTTATTGAAACCACTTTGCGTTACTATTTTCTTTTGTAATTTAATTTTATTTTCTCTACGCGTCGTGGGGAGTGACCGTCGTTTCTAAGAGAAATTTCTGAGAGAAATGTGGTCTTTAAAATCTTTCCTAGAGTTTTCCAGACAATATTGGACCACAAAAAAAAAACACACAAAAATTACTGAGGTTTTTTATGTTTTGTACTGTTGTAACCATTAAACAGTTTCCCCTTCAGTTCAACCTTATAAGTGGAGATACATTGTTGGTGTTACATTATAAAATAGCTTACAATTAAGTATTGGCAAAGCTCAATGTCATTTTCACAGGAGGCAGAGCTTGTTGTTAGTGGCTGCTGAAAGTAACTTTTAATGTAACTAAGTTACTTTTCAAATCAAGTAGTCAGAAATCTAACTAAGTTACTTTTTCAAGGAGTAATCAGTAATCCGATTAAAGTTACTTTTCAAAGTAACCGTGCCATCACTGGCCTCAACTCACAAGTTTAATGTTTCAAACAAAATGACTTCCTGTAAATCCTTCTGAATATGAAAACTTGAAAAACTGAGAATCTTCAGACATGTTTGGTTTGAGACTATGAAACATTTTTTGAACATGTGCAAAAAATGCACAGGCTAGTTTTTTTTTGAAATGGGCATTTATCCAGGGTGACATCACGGATCTTCTCTGTCAGTTTTCCTCGGAGCAAGTTTTCTACTCCTTGTATGCGTGTGCAGTGGCAAATGTTTCTCTTCGTCTGTTAAGTACTGGGACACATTACCAGCTTTCTGCAGCTAGAGACACAATCAGATCATTTCAACAGGTTAGACTGCAGCTAGACAGGCTTGTACAGCTTTGTGCGTGTTTATATTTCAAGATTACAATGTTAAGCCTAGTGATTGATCATTAATCACAGTGCGATAAATCTGGTACATTTTTTAATCAATTGGCAGCTGGAATTTATACTGAGATTAAATTACAAATAGGTGGTTGCTATTTAAGAGGCTTCCCAGTCTGTTGAACTGGACTTTATTTAGTGGTATCCAATTTAAGATGAGAAAATATGAATCCCTAAAATAATTAGAAAATTTTCATTAAAAAAAAAAACAATGCATGTATCTTTCTTTCCACTTCAATTATCTCCCAGTTTAACGTTTGTTTACCACATAAAATTCTCATGAAATGCAATAAAGTTTGTGACTGTAACCGTGTTGAATTCAACAAAGTCGCGCTGACTGAGGGTCTCTGACTCAGATTAGATTTGAGATTGGACTTTTTTCAGGTCTAAACATTAAAGTGTGCGACTTTGTGGACAGAAATATGTCTTTGCTAATGTCTTTCTGTTTGAATTTAACAACAGAAAGAGCAAACATGATCAATATTTCAGCACCAGAGAGCATCTCTGAACACTTAGACTCTACTATGAATTACTGTAGCCTACTATAGCCACAAGGTAGTTAAACTATTCTTATATAAAAGCACTTCCTCTTACAAATTATATCTCACAACTCTTTTTGAGTCAGACGTAGTAGCACAGTGAAAGAATTTAGAATCAGGTAGAAAATGCCTTGTATGTAGAAATAACAACCTCTTTTTCCCTTTTGTAGTGTGATGAAGAAAATGTAAAAAAAGAAACAAAAGAATGCTGGCAACACACAGGCTGTACTGTCCTTTAATAACATGAGAAAATATTCAACAAAAACGAAAAGTGACACCTCCAGTTTGCAAAATGCTGTGCCATTTTTGGAAATATTTCTGAGAGCATCAACACAACACCTTTTTTTAAGAGCAAACAAGAATGCATCTATTTTGCAGCTAACGGCCTTGTACATACGAACTGATGTGACTTTGGAGTCGGACTATTTCTACAGATCTGTACAGTTAGGATGACGACGAAGACATTGATGATTATTTTTACTGAAGCTTCCTGTTATAAGCTCTTCCTCTGAGGTTTGTTTGAACCTCCAGTTGGGTTGGTGACGATGTAAAGCACAATGAAAACACTCCAAATCGGTTTCACTTCCTAAATAAAAGCTACTTTAAAGAACTGGAGTGTTGGGTGTTTTCCTGTAGAGGCATGTTCCCTTCCTTATTATTGTCTCATCTTTAATGTCCACCTGAAATATTTTCTTATAGGATTTGGACCTGGGATCTACTTTTTGTGTTATTTTGATTCGTTGTTTAGGTCGTCAAGTTTGATTTGCTCAAAAGATATTTAACAAAACAATCTGACTGAGTTAATGATCGCAAAGTAAGAAGTGAAACCAGCGTTTGCATTTAAGCTTTGCTTTTGGACCTTTGTGTTTTTAAGACTAAGTATTTATTGATTTGAGCTTTAATGACACATTCATTAAGATAAATAACAGAGTAGAGAAATGTATTTACAAAGCTTTTTTCTTGATTGTACCTTTGAGCAAAATCTCAGTTTTCAGGAACGTTTTTACGTCTGTTGCAGTGTGTGTAGTGTAATAAATGGAAAAATGTAGCTGGTATCACCCATAGGACAGAGATGCAAGTAATTCCTGATATGTTAGAAATTATTCTAACATAGTCATGATAGTTAGAAACAACTGCTGAAGTTATTTTAACAACAGAAGTAGTAATAATAGTAATATTTTCTGTTTTTGGATAGAACCACCATCTGTAAATTTGTTGGTTTTTTGAAAAAGTTTAGATCTTCGGGTTGAACGTTGCGTCCTCTTGGTTCTTCTCTCAATTCCAGCAATTCAACACTTGGCTCACCGTCAGCCATATACTTAATGGCTACCATCTGCCACTACTTTAACTCAAAAGACAAATGGTCTTCTATTAAAAGGTGATTGATTTTCTCCTAT